CACTACCCGGCACCAGTGGAGTTTTATTCAGGCCGAAGTCAGCAGGCCACCAGTGAAAGTGCACGTGGCCTTGAGAGAAATCTCGGAATACCACTTAACCTTACCAGCAGGTAGAAGGTGCTGGTTCCTGCCGGCAGGAATCGTGTCTTGCCGAGCGAAGTGGTGGGAAACTTAGCGAAAGGAGAGTCCACGTGTTCCTGGAGCTGGCGGTGGTCAAACTGAGAAGCAGCTGCTTTCTAGGCGCCTGGATCTGGGTTCAGGAACTTCTGACACCAAAATGATACTGTAACGATAAACAGCACACTTACTGAAAGTATAAGTAAGTATTTATTGTAGAAATTACTCACAAGGGCCAGGCGGTGGAGGCACACGCCTTTAATCCCAGCACTCGGGAGGTAGAGGCAAGCGGATCTCTGTGAGTTCGAGGCCGGGCTGGACTAACAGCCTCCAAAACAATACAGAGAAACCCTGTCTCGTAAAAACAAAACAAAACAAAAAACAAAAAAACAAAAAGAAGTTACTCACAAGAGACAAACAAGTAACCTAGATGAACCGAGTAGTTTTCCGTTGCCGAATTGGAACCTGGAAAGCCAGAAAAAGAGAGCTTGACTTCTGCTGTTCAGTCTTTTGTACCTTCCTCCATAACGCCCCTAGCCATGCCCAAAAGTGGGCCTGGCTAGTGACGTAGTTCACCGCCTACGTTCGTATATGTCCGTAGTCATGCCTAAATTGGGTGTGGTTGGTGGTGCAGTAAATGCCCTTGTATTACCTCATCTGTATGTGCCTCTAATATGTCGCATGGTTAATGGCCGAGCACTGTTTCCTCCTACACCGTCTGTCTTTGAAGTTGAGGTATGTTTCTTGTATGCAGCAGAAGGATGAATTCTGTCTTCATATCCATTCTGTTAACTTGTGTATTTTTATAGGCGAGTTAAGACCATTAATATTGAGGGATATTAATGACCACTGCTGTTTGTTAATTCTTTTTTTTGTCTCTTCACTAAAGTTTATTAAACTTTACTTGAGTATCCTTTTTGAAAGTCATCTCTTTAACCTTTATCATTGCAAAATCGGTTTCTGTTTTGCATGATAAAGCTGACTTACAAATCTCATTTCCAAAGACAAATGTCATTTTCCAGTGTGTCTCATTCTTTCTTTTTATTCTTTTTTCTTTTTCTTTCTGTTTTAATTTTAAATAGCTCTCTTCACATATCAACCCCAGTTCCCTCTCCCTCCCTTCCTCCTGCACCCCCCCCCACCATCCCCTCTATCGACACTTCCTTCCACATAGGAAATATATGGAGTCTGCCATTTCACTCAGGGCATGGTCCAGGCACTCTCCTAAGAGTCCAGGCTGAGAAAGCATCCCTCTTTGTGTTATGAACACAAAAAGTCCGTTTGTATGCCAGGGATAAACACTGATCTACTGCCCAGGGCCCCATAGGTTTCCCAGGCCTCCTCACTAACTCTCACATTCAGGGGGTCTGGATCAGTTCCATGATTCTTTGCAGTGTTTTCTTGGTTTCTACTTGATTGATTTCAGCCCTCAATTTGATTATTTCCTGGCATCGGCTCCTCCTGGGTAAGGTTGCTTCTTTTTGTTCTAGAACATTCAGCTGTGCTATTCTCTAGTGTGACTGTTCTCCACTTTCTTCATGTGGGCAGTTAGTGCTATGAACTTTCCTCTCAGCACTGCTTTCAGAGTGTCCCATAAGTTTGGGTATGTTGTGTCTTCATTCTCATTGAATTCCAGGAAGTATTTAATTTCTTTTTTTATTCCTTCCTTTACCCAGGGTTGGTGCAATTGTGCATTGTCCAATTTCCATGAGTTTGTAGGGTTTCTGCGATTTGTGTTATTGTTGAATTCTAATTTTAATGCTTGGTGGTCTGATAAGATACAGGGGGTTATTCCAATTTTTTTTTGTATCTGTGGAGGTTTGCTATACTTCCTATTATGTGATCAGTTTTAGAAAAGGTTCCTAGTGGCGCCGAGAAGAAGGTATATCCCTTTGTGTTTGGGTGGGATGGTCTATAGATGTCTGTTAAGCCCAGTTGTGTCATAACTTATATTAGTTCTTTTGTTTCTTTGTTAAGTTTCTGTCTGGAGGTCCTGTCTAGCGGTGAGAGTGGAGTGTTGAAGTCTCCTACTACTTGTGTGTGAGATTTTATTTGCGATTTGAACTTTAGTAATGTTTCTTTCACGAATGTGGGTGCCTTTGTATTTGGGGCATAGATGTTCAAAACTGCGACTTCATCTTAATGGACTTTCCTTTGATGAATATGAAATGTCCTTCTACATCTCTTTTGATTGATTTTTATTTGAAGTCTAGTTTGTTAGATATTAGGATTGCTACACCTGCTTGTTTCTTGGGTCCGTTTGATTGGAAAATCTTTTCTCAACCCTTTACTCTGAGGTAACATCTGTCTTTAACATTGAGATATGTTTCTTGTATGCAGCAGAAGGAAGGGTTCTGTCTTCATATCCATTCTGCTAGTCTATGTCTTTTTATAGGCAAGTTGAGACAGTTGACATTGAGGGATATTAATGACCATTGATAGATGATTCTTGTTTGTGCTTGATTTATTGGTAATGGAGTTATTGTGTGTAGGTTCTCCTCCCTTTTTCTTTTGGTGTTTGGTAAAGTGGGATTATCTATTGCCTGTGTCTTTGTGAGTGTAGTTATCTTTGTTGGGTCTAGGTTTTCCTTCCATCACTTTCTGTAGAGATGGATTCATGGATACATATTGTTTAAATCTGGCTATGTCATGGAATATTATGTTTTCTCCATCCGTGGTAATTGAAAGCTTTGCTGGATATAGCAGTCTGGGCTGGCATCCTTGTTCCCTTAGTGTTTTTAGGACATCTGTCCAGGATCTTCTGGCTTCCATAGTTTCCATTGAGAAGTCAGGTGTAATTCGGATAGGTCTGCCTTTATATGTTACTTGGCCTTTTTCTTTAGCTGCTCTTAATATTTTCTCTTTATTCTATAGGTTTGATGTTTTGATTATTATATGGCGAGGTGACTTCTTTTTCTGGTCCAGCCTATTTGGTGTTCTGTATGATACTTGTATTGTCATAGGAATATCCTTCTTCTATGAATTTTGTTGAATATGTTTTCTGTACCTTTGAGCTGTATTTCTTTGCCTTCTTCTATACCTATTATTCTAAGGTTTGACTTCTTCACGGTGTCCCATATTTCCTGGATATTTTGTGTTCGAGATTTGTTGGTTTTGAGATTTTCTTTGGTTGACGACTGTTTTGATTATTATGTGGCAAGGGGACTTTTTTTGTGGTCCAGTCTACTTGGTGTTCTGTAAGCTTCTTGTACTTTCATTGGTCTGTCTTTCTTTAGGTTGGGAAAATTTTCTTCTATGATTTTGTTGAATGTGTTTTCTGCACCTTTGAAGTGGGTTTCTTCACCTTCTTCTATTCTTATTATTCTTAGATTTGGTCTTTGCATGGTGTCCCACATTTCGTGAATATTTTATGTTGGGGATTTGTTGGACTTAAGATTTTCCTTGGTTGATTAATCTATTTCTCCTAGTGGATCTTCAATGCCTGAGATTCTCTCTTTCATCTTTTGTATTCTGTTGGTTATGCTTGCTTCTGTAATTCCTGATCATTTACCCAGCTTTTCTATTTCCAGCATTCCTTCAGACTGTTTTTTTTTCATTGTCTCTATTTCTGCTTTCAAACCTTGCACTGTTTGAATTGTTTCTTGCAATTTTTGGTTTGTTTTTTCCTCCATTTCTTGAATTTTTTGATAGTTTTTCTTCCGTTTTTTTTTTAACAGATTTTCTCATTACCTCTTTGAGAGTCTCTATTATCTTCATAAAGTTGTTTTTAGGGTCATTCTGTTCTGCTTCATCTGTGTTGGGATGTTCAGGTCTTGCTTGTGTGGAGTCCCTAGAGTCTGGTCGCATCATATTGATCCTTCTGTTGACTGTGTTCTTCCCATCCCTTCTTCTAGTGGGTTCTCTTCCTCTCCTGGTGGGTACAGGTCCAAAGTTCTCTTCTGATGGGTACAAGCCGGTGCAAAACTCCGATGGTCTTCCTCTTCCTGTAGGTGGAGACGGGAGGACTATCATGACATTGGCAGACTCTGGATGGGCTGTTCCACCAGGACGGGTTTCCCTGTGTGCAGTCTCCATGCCTCAGGAGACTCTGAGCAGGGCACCAGAAGGTGGGCTGGAAACATGCCCAAGCTTTCCTCCTCCAATGTGTGGAGACAGGACTAGCACCTCGAAGCTGGCAGATTGTGGATGGGCTGGTCCGCTGGGACGGGTTTGCCCATGCACAGTCCCCAGGCCTCAGGAAGCTCCAAGCAGGGCACCGGCAGCATTAATTTCTTTTTATTACCAGAAGAGATTTTGTTTTGAGGTACGGTCTCACTAGGTAGACTAGGCTGGCCCTAAAGATGACAGTGAATCAGTTCCCTTCAGATAAGGGCACTGAAAAATAACCATAAACCAATTTTAGCATATATTGTATCTTTAATCAACTTCAGAAGTTTTGTGTGTCTGTGGATTTTAATGCAGCAGTCCTTTAAGGCTGTGGTTCTCAACCTTCCTAATGCTGCAACCCTTTAATACAGTGCCTTTTGTTGTGGTGATCCCCAAACATCAAACTATTTTCATTGCTATTTCTTAACTGTGGTTTTGCTACTGTTATGAGTTAAATGTACATATATGATATGTGACCCTATGAAAGACTTGTTTAACCCCAAGGGGTTGCAACCCACAGGCTGAAAACCACCACTTTAAGGCATCAATACCTTCATTACTGGAATTAATATGGCCCGGAGAGACATATATTTTTACCATTAGCTTCACTGCAAAATAATTAAGTTCTAAGAAATAAAACTACGAATGACCCCAAAATATATTCCTTCAAAATCACCTTAGCATCTTAATATGTAATGTGTGACCAATTTAAAGGTTGTCAGTGTTTTGGGGGTGTTTTTGGTAATACATTTTTCTTCCTCTTCTCTTCTATCTAGTGGTCATATGCTCTAGAAAAACCCAACACCGGCAGCATATTTAACATCGCGTGGTCTATTGATGGCACTCAGATCTCGGGAGCCTGTGGGAACGGGCATGTTGTCTTTGCGCATGTGGTGGAGCAGCGCTGGGAGTGGAAGAATTTCCAAGTAACGCTGACGAAGAGAAGGACCATGCAGGTATGGTCATGTTCCTGCGCTGACTAAGTCTGCTGCTTGTCACTACACAGAGCAGAGGGCTCTCTCTTCACACCCCCTTTTGTGAAGACACTTCTCAGTAAGGGTGTTGACCTGTTTCAGTGGAAGGTCAGAAACCTTCTACGTCTTCTAACCTGCCGAGGGAGTTAGGACAAGCAGGGCTACTTCTGTTCCGGGTCCTGGCAGTCCTCTAGCCGGGATACTCAACATGCCAACCGCCATATTTGGGGCTGGTGTGTAATACTCAACATGCCAACCGCCATATTTGGGGCTGGTGTGTAATACTCAACATGCCAACCGCCATATTTGGGGCTGGTGTGTAATACTCAACATGCCAACCACCATATTTGGGGATGGTGTGTAATACTCAACATGCCAACCGCCATATTTGGGGCTGGTGTGTAATACTCAACATGCCAACCACCATATTTGGGGATGGTGTGTAATACTCAACATGCTAACCGCCATATTTGGGGCTGGTGTGTAATACTCAACATGCCAACCGCCATATTTGGGGCTGGTGTGTAATACTCAACATGCCAACCGCCATATTTGGGGCTGGTGTGTAATACTCAACATGCCAACCGCCATATTTGGGGCTGGTGTGTAATACTCAACATGCCAACCGCCATATTTGGGGCTGGTGTGTAATACTCAACATGCCAACCGCCATATTTGGGGTTGGTGTGTAATACTCAACATGCCAACCGCCATATTTGGGGATGGTGTGTAATACTCAACATGCCAACCGCCATATTTGGGTTGGTGTGTAATTTTGAAGTGGGATATTTTGTAGTTTAATACGCAGAACTAGGATATGTCAGTGGGAGAGGGTTGGGACAGTTGTAGGTGAGAGTGTGTCAGTGAGTCAGTTGTAGGCGTCTACGGACTGTGCTCTCCACTTCTCTCAGAGCTCTGCATAGAATCAGTGTGTAACAAGTGCGTTGAGTCTCAGAGGAGCCGGGTCTGAGGAGAGTGCAGGCGCTGCTGACCAATGGAGAAAGAGGAGCTCACTCTCCTCACCCTCTGCCGCATCAGTGGCTTTCGGCCTCTCTATTCATAGCCGTGTGACTTTAACACCTGTAAAAGCTCGGAAGCATACATTGTGACTTTAACCTTTTAAAGTACTTTGTTAGCTCAAGTATAAAGATTTTAAAATGTGTATAATATGTTACCAGACTCAGTAATTAGATTCTACTTTTTTTTTGAAAATTTTATGTGGAAAATGTATTTTTTTAAAAGCAGAGAGTGGTATATAGAATCTCCTTATCCTTTCCACCCCACTACGGCATTCATCAGCTGGGGATCCACCCTGTCCCACCCACAGCCATCAGCTGGGGATCCATCCTGCCCCACCCACAGCCATCAGCTGGGGATCCATCCTGCCCCCCACAGTCATCAGGGTCCATCCTGCCCCCCCACAGTCATCAGGGTCCATCCTGCCCCCCACAGTCATCAGGGTCCATCCTGCCCCCCCCCACAGCCATCAGGGTCCATCCTGCCCCCCCCACAGCCATCAGGGTCCACCCTGCCCCACCCACAGCCATCAGGGTCCATCCTGCCCCCCCACAGCCATCAGGGTCCATCCTGCCCCCCCACAGCCATCAGGGTCCACCCTGCCCCACCCACAGCCATCAGGGTCCACCCTGCCCCACCCACATCCACATCTGCTTTCCAACCTCCCAGTGAGTTTCAGGCAAATTCTGATATCATACTTCATAAATAAATGTTCAATATATAGAGCTTAAAAATAAGCACATCTCTTTTTTTTTTTTTTTGTTGTTGTTGTCTCTTTTATTTAAATTAGAAACAATCTTATTTTACATATCAATCCTAGTTCCCTCTCCCTCCAATCCTTCCATACCTCCCTACCTACCCACATCCCATCCCCCCATCCACTCTCCAGGGAGAGTGAGGCCTTCCTTCCCCGGGGACCATCATTTGGTGCAGTGCCTAGGCCCTCCCCCATGTATTTAGGCTGAGGGAGTAACCCACCGTAGGGAATGGGCTCCCAAAGTCCATTCGTGCACTAGGGGTAAATACTGCTTCTACCGCAAAAGGCTCCAGGCCTCTTAACTGTCACCCAAACTCAAGGGCCCTAGTTCGATGCTATGCTGGTTCCCTAGCTGGCTGGGATCCATGAGCTCCACTTGCTCAGGTCAGCTGTTTCTGTGGGTTTCCCCAGAATGGTCTTGACTCCCTTGTTCATCACTCCTGCCTGTCTATAACTGGCTCAGTGCTTAGCTGTGGATATCTGCTTCTGCTTCCATCAGCTCCTGGATGTAGGTAGTCATCAGTCTCATTATAGGGGAAGGGCATTTAAGGTAGCTTTTCCACTATTGCTTAGATTCTTAGTTGGTGTCATCCTTGTAGATCTCTGAACATTTCCCAGTGCCAGATTTCTCTTTAAAACCATAATGGCTCCCTCTATTATGGTATCTCTTGTCTTGCTCTCCTCTATTCTTTCCCCCACTTAATCTTCCGTATCCCTCTTGTTCTCCTCCCCCTCCTCTTCTCCCCTCCTCTTTCTCCTACCATTTCCCCTCTCCCAATTTATTCAGGAGCTCTTGTCCATTTACCCTTCTCTGGGGGACTATGTAAGGACATCTCTTTTAATAGAACCATAATGCCATTGTCATACACTAATAACAAGAACAAAAATAATTCTTTAATTTTAGGAAATATCCACAAGATGTTCAAATCTTCAGGTATATCCCACATGTTTTAAAGTTTGGGTAAGGATTCAAATGATTACAATGGGCTTGGTGCATCATTTAAGTTGGTATTGGTCCATAGTACCCGCCCCCCATTTCTTCTTACCATACTCTGTATCTTTCTTTTAGGAAGTCAGACAATTTGTCCCAGAGTTTTTCACAGTGTGGACTTAGATGATTGCATCCCTGTGGTGTGTTGTTTTTGTTTTGCTTTCCAATGCTGGTGATTGGCCTCATAAACTATTAGGCAAGCATTGTACTGAGCTAAAACCCCATTCCATCCATGGGCTGGATAGACGTTCCCTTTTGCCTTCTGAACTTCCTGCAAATTGACACTGTAATCAAATGATGGCATAAAACGGATTTCTGTTGTTTAACTTGGATCCTAAACATGACATTGTCTCCAGGACAAAGAATGCCTACTGATTTGGGACAAAACTATTTATTCATATGTGCATGAGGTCTAGGCAGTATAGTATTATTAGAAAAGTTCTAGTAGTATTTATGAAACTCTCCTGAGAACTTAGATGTGATTCTAGATAGTTTTAATTTGGAAATAAAGACTCATCTCAGTGGCTAGATAAAGTTCATGTGAGGTTACATCTGGCATCTTTTAAATGGCTTATCAAATTCAAGTTATCCTAAGAGGAAAAGTTAATAAATTCAGTAGAATTGTAGAGTCTTTTAATTTGTAAAGGGCTTTATACTGTGATTGTAAAACCTTGCATTTTTGTTAAGTTGGACCCATTCAGTATTTCGTGTTAAGACAATATTCTTCTTTTATCAGTGGCTATTTATGAGTTATGCTTTCCAGGTACTAGGCTAAGCAATGAGGGTGCAGCATTAAATAAAACAAATTTGTTCTCTGTTCTCATGGACCTCCTAGGTTAGTGTCTTAAAACTACCCCGTACATTCAGCACAAATTAATTTCAGGTGAGGAATAAGGCAAAGCAGAAATCGGCTGGCTTATGTGAGGTCAGGTGATAGGCTGAGTTGAGGCCTTATTGCTTCAGTGGATCAAGTAATGCCAGCAGGGCTCCATTATGTCTCTTTTAGTCCCTTTCCCTGTAATCAGCTTTCCTGCTGTGCCTTTGGTAACTCCAGCGTGGCATCCTAGCAACTCAAGTCTGTCAGCTTGTTTCTTCTAGTAATTCCAGCAGGAGCCCAACCTTGTAGTCGCATATGCTTGGCTTGCACTGAATGTAATTAGTTGAGTGAGAGGTGAGATGCCACCTTATCTGAACTGCTTAGTGACTGAGACTAGTGGAAGGAATGGTTTCTGGTTTCTCAAGGGAAATCAAGGCGAGAGAGAGGGAGAGGGAGAGGGAGAGGGAGAGGGAGAGGAGAGAGAGGAGAGGGAGAGGGAGAGGGAGAGAGGGAGAGGAGGGAGAGGGAGAGGGAGGGAGAGGGAGAGAGGGAGAGGGAGAGGAGAGGGAGGAGAGGGGAGAGGGAGAGGGAGAGGGGAGGAGAGGGGAGAGGGGAGAGAGAGATGAGAATATGAACCTTGGCGGGGAAGGCATGGCTGCAGGCTTGTGAGCTGGATACATTGATGTGGCAGTCAGGAAGCAAGAGAGTGAAACTCAAGCCCAGCATCTGCAGCTGTATACCTGGCATCTAGACCTTATGCTTTCAAGGTACCAAGACCCGTTAAAACAGTGCCACCCCTAGGGCTACTGTCTTAGGTAGGGTTTCTATTTCTATTGATGTAAAGAGACACCACAACCATAGCAACTCTTTTTTTTGTTTGTTTGTTTTGTTTTTTTGAGACAGGGTTTCTCTGTATTGTTTTAGATGCTGTCCTGGAACTCGCTCTGTAGAGCAAGTAGGCTGGCCTTAAACTCATAGCGATCTGCCTGCCTCTGCCTCCTGGGTGCTGGAATTAAAGGCGTGTGCCACCAAAGCCCAGTTTACCACAGCAAGTCTTATAAGGAAAATATTTCATTGGGGTGGCCTGCTTACAGAGGTTCAATCCATGATCATCATGATGGGGAGCATGTTGGCATGTAGGTAAACATAGTGCTGGAGCTGAGGGTCCGGCATCTTAAAGGCTGTAGGAAGTTGACTGAGACACTGGGTGGTATCCTGAACATAGGAAATCTCAAAACCCTCTCCTACAGTGACACACGTCTTCCAAGAAGGCCATACCCACTCCAACAAAGTCATCTCCTAGTAATGCCACTCCCTATGAGATTATGGTGGCCAGTTACATTCAAACTACCACAGCTAGTGTGGGAGACATTTCCTATTCTTTCATGAAAAGTCAGAAA